TGTAGCTCAGTGGTAAAATGCCTAGCATTTGCAAGGCCTTGGTTCAATTCCTGACCTTGCAAGAATAACGAAAATATATTACTCAAAAAAAAAATACATTTATCTAAAAAATAAAACCAAAAGAAATATTATTCCCTTAAACAAATCCAGCTGGGCACCAGTAGCTCACGTCTATAATCCTTAGGTACTCTCAGGAGGCAGAGATCAGGAGGATCACAGTTCAAAGCCAGCCTGGGCAAATAGTTCTCAAGAATAGAATATTATGGCAATAGATCTCAAAGGGATGGTGGAGTGGCTCAGGGTATAGGACCTGAGTTCAGACCTCAGTATCACAGCAAAAAACAAACAAAACAAATCCTTGTTCCCTTATAAGTTTATTTATAATAAAAATAGCTTAAATGTTAGGTAATAATTAAGCTAATTCAGACTTTATAATATAAACAGTAGATGTTTTGGTTATAAATAAATACTATACCCTTCTGTCTCCCTATCTCAGTGAATGGAGCCATCTTACACTCAAAGTCTAAGCCAAACACTTGGGAAGTTCTCTTACTTTCCCACTTCAACACTAACACCTCTTGACTCAACTTAATAACTCTTGAATCCATCTGTCTCTTACTGTCTCCATTCCCATTACCTTAATCTGTTACAGCCAACATTATCTCCAACCCAGATTCCTGTAACTGCTTCCTAATTGGTGTCCCTGCCTTACTCATCCATTCATCACACTGGAGTAGAAGTACTTTCCTATGAACAAAACTAGTTGTTTTAATTCTTTGAGCAATACTTGTTAACTCTTACACAGTGTTGGGATGAGAGGAGTAAAGTATAGTGCTCATTTTCCAAATGGCACGGTACTTTTAAAATTCCTATAATACTGCCCGTAGTTCAAACACTACAGGCTTTGTGATCTGGTCGTTGCCTACTTTTTTTTTTTTTTTTTTGCAATACTGAGGTTTGAACTCAGGGCCTACACCTTTAGCCACTCCAGCCACTCTCTGCCAGCCCTTTTTTGTGATGGATTTTTTTGAGATAGGGTCTCAAGAACTTTTTTCCCCCGGGCTGGCTTCTAACTGTGATCCTCCTGATCTCTGCCTCCTGAGTGGCTAGGATTATAGGTGTGAGCCACGGGTGCCTGGCTCCCAGATTCATTTTCATAATTTTCATACACAAATGCCACCACACCCCAGAACTCTGCTGTTTCACCAGTTATAATTTTGTTAGTTTTGGTCTTGAAATAAGACTTCCTTATATTCATATTACCCAGATTTTAGAGTGAATTCCCTTTTAACATTCACTCAGTTCAATCTTAATTCCTTTGAACAAATAAGTCACCAACATCGAGAGTCCAGGTCTTTCTTCTGAGCTCCAGTTTTGTACTTCTGGTTACCTGATTGACATTCTACCTGTCTCTCTCACAGGTATCTCAAGTTCAAAATCTTGAAAATTATTATTGTAATTTTCTCTGTTTCCACAGTCTCAGTAAACTATACTATATCCACTGAACTGTTGAGGCAAGAAACTTGAACCATCCTTTGCAGTTTCTTCCTCACCTTTATATCAAATAAGCAACAAATCTCTGTTTATTATACTTCCTTAGTATGTTTTGAACATACTCACTTTTAAAAATCTATGTAAATATATATTCATTCTGCTCCCTTCATCCAATCTGCAACTTTCTTGGCCTGGATTCCTGCAGTAACTTCTTAGCTAGTCCTTCCACATGTACCCTTTCTCCTTCAGAACACACTCTACACATGCCTGATCTGATACCATATAGTAATTATTTTATGTATGCTTTATGTTCTGACACCTGACACCTTACTGTATGGGGAGAGACTGCCCCTCCTGTGACTAGTCCTTTTTTTGTTGTTGTTGTTTTCCTCTCAGTATTGGGGTTTGAACTCAGGGCCTCACACTTGCTAGGCAGGTGCTCTACCACTTGAGCAACTCTGCCAGCCATTTTATGTGTTTCACGTTTTCAAGATAGGAGCTCTTAAACTATTTCCTAGGGCTAGCTTCGAACTGTGGTTCTCCTGATCTCTCCCTCCCAAGGATTACAGGCATGAGCCACCTGCACCTGGCTAGTCAGGTGGTTTTTTTTTTTTGTCTTTTTTTTCTCTTTTCACTCCAGGAGGCACTATTTCTATGCCCCAGGGCCTGCTGAAAATATTCAAACTCCCTAATACTAATTCTGTTTACCCTGGATTGTCTTGCATGAAGTCTCTTGCCTCCCTTTCTTTGCCCTTGGTCCTTGTGCCCCTGACCATGCTGGTGCTTCCCTGTGTGGTTCTATGTGGTATGGCATGGTGTGTGTCCCTCTCTTTCTTGGGAACTATAACAAACTCTTTCAGTGGCAATTGTCTCTTCATCTATCCCCTTATACCTGAATAATAATAAAGCCTACATTTTAAAAGCTTAGCACTACCACCCAGCTTAAACTTTTTAAATTACTTTACCATAAGATAAAGTTAAAAATCCCTTTTTTGCCTAAAACATTTTGCCTACTCTGTTTCTTGTCTCTCCAGTCTCATTTTCTATCCCTTCTCTCCCTCACTAACTAACCTTCAAAGACAGTTACTTTTTTCAATTACTCAAACTCCCTTCCTATCATGGGATCTTTGCATGTGCTGTTTCCTCTGCTTAAGCTTCTCATCTCCTCTTCCTCCCTCCCAAGGCCTTTTCACCTTAATACTATTGATATATTTCTCACATCTCATGTATCACTCTTTTGAAAAAGACTTTCTAAGATAGGACCATTATTTTATTATCATGGTACTCTATTCTGCATAGCACTCATCATAATTATAATGAATCATTTATGCAGTTAACTGTTTAATGTGTTTCTCCCTTGTTATATATAGTCCTGAGAGCAAGAACTATTTTTTCCCTTATCACACAGCATAATGCTAGGCATATAGTAGCTGCTTAATGAGTATTTGTTCAATCATTAAATAAGAGAATGATGTCTTTCAGTTGCGTTTCATGGACCATAGTATGGATAGGTCTATGAGACAATACAGAGAAATTAGATCTTTTTATGTCCTACCCTCTAAATATATTTGTAGGATATCTTTAAATTGGGCCTGTTAGGTACCTCAGTAAATTATGGAAATGCAAGGTAGCTACACTGATTTTTCATTAACACATGAAAACTGAAAGAAGGCAAAAATACGACTGATGTTTAAGGTAAAGACAGTAGATCCTGTTCAAATTCTTTAAGTAGATGAGTTCTGCATATCATAAAGCTTGTGATATATTTATTTGTAGGATATCATGATTCCATGGCAGTTGTTTTTGTTTTGTTTTGTTGAACATTTTAAGGCGATCCAAGTGAAACATTTGGGAGGTGACATGGTTTAGAGATGTGCTTCAGATTCAGTTCACAGTCTGGCTCTGTACCTTACTATCTCTGTAATCTTGGACACATTACTTAAACTGCTTAAACTTCAGTGTTCTCATCTTGGAATGAAGGTGACAATAGCATCTACTTAGAATTGTGAAAATTAAATGAAATAATGACTGTAAAGCACCTCACGATAAGACCTTAACAAATGTTACCATTTTACTATTCAAATAACTTATGGGATGCATCAGAGAGCATGTGCTCTCTCCCTGCTTTCTAGAATGCTCTCCACCAACATGTTGCTCTTCTTGTTATCACTTTCTCAGTTTCCCTGTGCCCCTTTCCTTGACGTCAGGGCTCTGTATTTAATCTCATGTTTTCCATTCCTCTTAACGTTTTAGACTGTGAGTTCCTTGGGGGCAATGACTGTGTCTTGTTATTATTGTATCCTCAGCTCCTAACAGTGCTTGACACGTAGCAGACATATTATTAAAGAATTAATGTTGTATCTAGTTATAAACTATAGAATGAGTGTGAGGATTAGAAAATAACAAATCTCTAACGCCTTGCTTTAGTGTCACCATGCAGTTCAATAATACATAATGGCCATAGTTACTATTATTATTATGCTGATAAAAATATACATTATTTTTAGAGACATAAGTCACTTGGATTAATGAAATTATTTTCCTGGCCATTAATATCTCTTTTTAATTATGTAATGACATTCTTTGCTGGAAGTATAACAAAGCTTGTACTAAATTATATGAGAAGCATGATTATAAATCTGCCCTCTGGAAATGGCGTGTTGGGTATTCTACTTTGTTGTGTGCATTAGAACAAAGATAACCTTGTTCGTTCAAAAACCAACTGTACAAACTCAGTAAATTAGATGATTTTATATATATATATGAATTAGTAGGCTGGGGTGGTGGTGCACACCTGTAATCCCAGCTACTTGGGAGGCAGAAAATGGAAAAATCATGATTCGAGGCCAGCCCAGTCAAAGAGTTTTCAAAACACCATCTCAACAAACAAGCCAGTTGTGGTGGGGAACATCTGTAATCCCAGCTATGCAATTGGCCTGTTTTTGCCATGGGCAAAAATATAAGACACTATCCAAAAAAGTAAAGTAGAAAAGGGTTAGAGACATGGCTTAAGTGGTAGAGTGCCTGCCTAGCAAGTATGAGGCCCTGAGTTCACACCCTTATATAGCCACCAAAACAAAAAAAGAAAAAGGAAAAGAAATTAAATAGTAAATGAAAATCTTTGTTTTTGTTTTTTTGAGCTGGAAATTGAACCTGCTAAACATGTACTCTACCACTGAGCCATACCCCTAGTCCAAGAGATGAGTCGGTTTTTTGAGGGGGTGGGTACTGGGGTCTGAACAGAGGGCCTACACATTGAACCACTCCACCATCCTTTTTTGTGATTTTTTTTTTTTTTAAGGAGATAGGGTCTCACAAGCTATTTGCTCAGGGTTGACTTCGAACTGAAATTCTCTTGATCTCTGCCTTCTGAGTAGCTAGGATTACAGGCGTGAGCCCCTGGTTCTTGGCAAGAGATGAGTCTTAATTGTTGTGGTGTTTTATTTTGAGTTATATAACTGGAGCTCTATCACATTCAACCTATTTTCTGTCTTTGTTTCATATAGCTGTTAGATGAGCTCCCAATGATTTACAGCTGCTGTGTGTTTGTATACTGCATGTAAGTATTTAAACATAAAATTCATTTATTTGATGTAGTTTAAGTCATGTTTGCCTCATAGTGAATTAATATAACTAATACATTTATATCACTAAGATGTGTAATAATGTACATTATAAATTTCATAGCATTGATGAAGAGTGTAGTTCCTGGGAAGTTAAGGTTGCAGATTAAAATTTGTGATCTCCAAACCTTGAAGCCAGTTTAGATAGAATCTTAATTTGACTTACAATGTGCAATTTGCCTTTCCTTGAGTGAAGAATATGTTACTATACCATAAAAGTTTTGGGGTAGTTTCTCTATATTACAGTATAAACAGTTTTTTAACAGAAGATCATCTGAAAAATTAAGTGCACTTTTAGCTGTAGAGTGATTATATCATTTTAATCTCTGCTTTGAAGTTATTTATTAAATAAATGTTTGTTTCCTTTAAATTCTCATTCTGAACTATAATAAATGTCAAGAATATGTTCATTTTGATTGGCTCTTCACAAATAGGAAAGAGAATAAACAAAACCACTTACAAGCCATTACCAATCCAAAGTTCCCTTCCTGGATCACACTCTGCTTATTTCACTATCAAGTTAATTTTCATTTCAGTTTTGAAGGTCAAATTTTGAAAAATAAAAGTGCTTAAGACAAGAATGTTAAGTGTTAATATTTCTCTACTTTGTACTGTGTTAAGCAGCATGCTACACCATCTCTAATTCTCAACCATTGTGCAAGGTAAAAAGCGTATTGCCCTAGTTTTGTAAATAAGAAAGTGAGGAATAGATTTAGTAACTTGTCTAAGTGATGAAGAAGTATGCCAACCAGGCCATTATCCTGGTAAACAATCTCTAAAGAACACTAAAATATCACTGGAAATATACCATAATGGAGAAAATTATAATGGTCAGAATCTCTCTCATGAAGGGGTTGGAAACTGGGCACTAGTGGCTCATGCCTATAAGCCTAACTACTCAGGAGGATTTTGGTTTGAAGCCAGTCATGACAAATAGTTCTCGAGACCCTCTCTTAAAAATACCCAACACACAAAAAGGTTTGGTGGAGTGGCTCAAGTGGTAGAGCACCTGCCTAGCAAGTGTGAGGCCCTGAGTTCAAATCCTAGTACACCACAAAAAGCCCTTTGATAGGTTGCCTGGGGATGTGATGGAAGTGTAGAAGTGGGACCCTTCCTGTAGTGTATGATCAGTAACAGGTGGTTGCTAAATGTGTTTTCCAAGGAGGGCAAGTAAGGTTAGCTGCAGGTCCTTTGTTTTACTAAATTAAGGTGTTTGAGCTCCAGCTATATTTCTGGAAACATTAAAGGAGAGTCCCCTGGCCTGTGACCCTGCAGGATTCAGCCTCTCTAAATGTTAAAGAAATATGTAAAAAATTTGAATTTGTGTTTGGAGGGGAACAAATTACTAGCTGTTGGGAGGGACTCATGCATTTATTTATTTGTTATTTATTTAGTAGCTACTCAGGAGGCAGAGAGCAGTAGGATAGCAGTTTGAAATCAGCCTGGGAAAATAGTTCGAGAGATCTTATCTTGAAAATAGCCAACACAAAAACAGGCCGACAGAGTAGCTCACATGGGAGAGCACCTGCCTAGCAAGCATGAGGCCCCGAATTTAAACCCAGTACTATCAAGAAAGAAAAAGAGAAAAGAAATTTCTAAACTATAGACAGAATAAAAAAGGTAGCTGTAATTCACAAATGTACTGTCATGGCACCAGGGTAGGCCAAGGAAGTCCCAGAGGGAGACGTCCTCTCTCTTTTCGCCTTGAGCATCCCTTTAAACAAAGATTGGGTTTTATCAGTGCTCGCTTTCAAAACAGGTGCTGGTCCTTGATAAATATCTATCTTTTGCCAACACTTTTGTGGTCAAAGCAGTTATTTTCCCAAATGTTTTCCCCCCAGGATATGTCTTTTTTAAGGTATTCCTCTCAGTTCTCAGGGCTTAGTAATCATTTTGGCAAGTGGGCAAGGTCGGAGGGAGAAAGCTGATTTGTGTGTGTGTGTGTGTGTGTGTTTAAACTTCATGTTGCAGCTCAGGGAGGGAGTATGAAACTTAAAAGCAACAAAAGTACTGCCTGTGTGCTTTTAATGACTATTCATTGCTCCTGTTTTCCATGCTTCACTTTCCTTGTCCTGTCTCAATACCACCTAACTTTTCTATCACCTTTGAGGCCATAAAGCCATACAATTTAAAGGTAAAAACAAATACCTCACCTAATAATATTTTCATTGTATTTAAAATCATAAAGTCACAGAATTTAAAGGTAAAAGGGAACTTAGAAATCACCAATTCCAACCACCTTTATTTATAGATAAAGAAATAAGACTTGGGTCCAATTTCCACAACCAGTTTGTAAACTGTAAGAATGCTCCTGCTGCCTGTACCAAAACATAGTTCTCAAAGGGGTGCTTATGATGGCTTGTTTGTATTTCCTTATTTACTATCTCCTATCACCTGTGCCTAGTGATTACATATATATCCTGCCACACAAGGAATTTACAGTCTAGTTGAAGAGACAGAGAAAGAGACAATTAAAATAGAGTGATTTTTAAAATAGTTTTTTTCAGTTAAGGATCATTAGTTGCAAGACATACAAACTTAAATGAACTTGAATTAAGAGAAATTTATTTTTTGTAATGACATCAGGAAATTATACAGAACCCAGTATCAGGAAATACAGCCTCAACTTGTTAACAGGACTGGTGCAGTCTGTGATCAGAAGATCTTGGTCCTTGCATTCCAGATGGAAAAATCCAAGCAGAGTACGTGGATGGGGTGAGGTAGAATAGCTTTATTGAGGAAAGGAGAGTCATCTATTCTGTCAGGTGAGGAAAGGGAAAGAAGGGCCAGGGCCTCTAGGTAGGTCATTTTTATACCACCTTGAACTTGGAGGTGGGGCAACATTACATCATCACCTGGCTCCTCTCACCTGTGGGCTAGGATGAGGAGCCCTTGAGCCAAGAGGGAGAACAGTCCCAGACTATCCCTCAAACTCCTGCTGAGGGAAAATATTCTAAAAATTCCTTTTTGGGATTACTGAAAGAAGGTTGTCCATCTTCGGTAACTGCTTTGAGGTGACAAGGGGCTATAGACCCTATCTATTAGGAATATTGCCCCTTTCCTATTGCTGTCCCTGGGGACTTGAACAGTGTCATTTGTTGTCTGAATCTTTGTCCAGCATGATTAAAATTGCTCATGGGCATCTCATCAACTTACAGAAGTTGACAGCCCTGTCATGTCACGGTTTGGGTTTTAAAAGCTTTTATCCTGGAAGAGATAAATCTGGTTTAGAAGGCATGACCTGAACATTTGACAATGATAGGGGCATCAGAAGGGGCCCTACTAGGTGTGGCAGGAAGGACAAAGTAATTTTGAAAAGTGACAGAATCTTATGGTTACTTTGCCTATAGGTGTTTATACCTGTAGCTATTTTTAACTCTTAGATGGTTCTCTGTTTTGGACTGTCACTATAGTGGGCAGTTGAGGGCTGACTGCATTAGGGGCCAGGTGTACCAGGGGACAGGTATCAGTCCAATTAGAGAGTAAACATTAATGAGTCAGTTCTGTACAGAAAGAAGACTCAAGTGTCCCTAGGCGGAGGTTAGCTACCATTGAAAGTTATAATACCTTTGTTTAAACAGAAGGCCTTGGCTGAAGACGTGAGTTTGCCTTTTCCGAAAAGCCTCGAAGGCTTAAATATTAGAGCACATGTATAAGAGCCCCTTTAAAAAAACCTCTCGTCTTTGGTTACTTTTAGAGGTCTGGCGTAATTGACTCCCATCTTGATCTGGAGAAGTCCCCTCACTTGTACAGTCCTTTAAACTGTCTCAGATGGATGAATGCCACTGTTCCTCTGAGAACATGGGGGATGCTGACCACTCAGAGGTCATGTCCTCTTAAACTGTTGTACAGTCATCTCTGAAGATTTTGCCAGTTTGGCAGTTTTGTCCATCGGTGCCAGAATGGCTTTTCCCAGAAAGTCAGATTTTGTCCCACGGAGGAGGGGGAGACAAACAGATTAGAAATAAGTGCCCTGTGACCTTTTTTGGCCAAATTAAGCAACAAAGAGATTTATTTAAAAAAAAAAAAAAAAAAACGGCTCTTAGACTGGGCTGGGCTTGATTAAATCTATTGTCTGTCCTATGTGGGCTGTACCAACACCTTTAAATTGTTGTAAAGTGTCAGCAGACAACAGTTATAAAGCTTTACAAGGCCTACTGGGATTAGAAGTGTAATGACTAAATTTAAATAACCATGGTTAATAGTTTAGCAATGATGTAATAGTATAGTACTACTAAACCTCTCTTACTACATTTGGGAACATACGTACAAACTTATAAAACCTAAGACACCAACTTGGTACAGTTTTTGTTTTATAACTATTTTAGAAGGCTTACATACTTGAAGAAGACAAAGACATATAACATATAAAGTAGCCAGTAGCAACATCACAGTTTAAACCTTGAATTTTGGTTAGAGTAATAAGTTACTGGTTGTCAGCACTGACAATTAAAAACCCTAAAATCCAATGGTTAAGAGAAGGTAGTGTCAGTAATTTTAAATAGCCCGTTTTGATGCTCAATTGCATCTAGCCAACGTCCGATAAGCCAATATTTATCCAATGAACAGATGTCAGATAAACCAGTGTAATGACAAACAGAGGTCAGGCCTAAATGACAAAAGTTTTAGTATTTGTCATAAAGAGCAGAAATGTTAATGGCCTTATTGAAAGGTACCTTAGATAAAAGAGCTATAACTGTTTACATGTATACACTTTTTTTTTTCTTTTTTGGCAGTAGTGGGGCTTGAACTCAGTGCCTTCACCTTGAGCCGCTCCACCAGCCCTTTTTTATGTTGGGTAATTTTGAGACAGGGTCTCATGAACTGTTTGCCTGGGCTGGCTTTGAACCGCAATCCTCCTGATCTCCGAGTAGCTAGGATTACAGGCATGAGTCACCAGTGCCCAGCTCATGTATACACTTTTAACTCTATAAATGACCTATGACATATAGATATATACATAAGGCATTAGGAGTATTAGAACCATTTAAAAGCATTTTTACCTAGTTTAAATATAGTTTTTTTAGTGTTACCAGAAAAATACCTTAGATTTTTGTGTCTGGTAAGATATTAATTTAAGCAGGATGTAAAGAATAGTAAATAATCTTAAATGGGCTATGGAGAGAGCTAGTCATTTTATTTTAGGTTAGCAGGAGCAAAGCATCTCCTAACACTTAAGGATACAGCCAAGTGGGGAATCCATTAGACCTGAGTTGGCTAACCCCATGTCATCCAGTTGGGAGAGAGAGGGAAATGGGAAGGAGGAAATTTATCCTTTAGGGGAGAGAAAAAACAAGAACTTCTAGATCCTTGGAGCGTCCTGGTTATCTCTAGGAAGCCTGATCTCAGGTCCCTTTGACCTGTTACCAGGAGGGTGACCTTTTGTTACAACACCAAAAGATCTTGATAGTTACTTTGATAAAACAGAAACTCATTTTTTAAATACACATTGGTACCTTAAATTTTGACCTTAGAAAACTTTTAGGAGGCAAACTTTAAATTATAAACTCACAAGCTTTAATATCTTAATTTGTATATTGAAGTAACGTTTGTAAAAACCCAAATTTAGATACCACTGTTTTAAATAAAGCATTTAGTAACCTTATAACTTAAAAAGACTTAGGAAAAATTAAACCATCTTTTAATAGTAGCATTCTGTGAGAACACATGGGTCAATAAACCTAATTATAAAAGAGTTAAATGTAATTACACTCATGGTAGAATAAAACAGATTGAGATTATTGATTAAAATTTTTCTTTAGTCCTAATGCAGAGAATAATTACGCCTAATTGGGATTAGAACTTTAGATAATCTTTGAGACAGTTGTGCATATTAACTTTATAAAAGTAGCTTAAGAACCATCCTAAAGACATCTAAACACACACAGAGACACATAGATGTTATGACCTAGGCATCCAATGAATATAAGTGCACATAATGAGCTAAAAAGTAAAAATTAAGTGGCCACAATTGGTAGGAGATAAAAACATGTACAGAAAACATACACAATGACACATAAAACAATTACATTAGAGTGTACTCTTAAACCATTTCTTTGTCATTATCTTTAGAAAATTAACTAGATTCGTAAGTAATTTATAACAGATCTTTAACATAAATGCTCTAATCTTCGTCCAATGTTTACAAACCAATACTGTAAAACAACATGTATAGAAACTATATTAATCTAGGGAATTTTAATGATAAGTTAGTTACAATATTCCTAGAGGATGGCAAGACGGACCTTGATGCATGGTGGCTCCATCATGGTGGCAGCATTTCCAGTGACCACATGGTCTCTCCAAAGAGTCTCTCAAATAAAACACAAAGATAAGTTATATGCAACATATACGTTCAGAATAGCAATCTTATAGGAGTAAAAGACATCTCCCCCTGAGAGACAGGTGTCCATGAGTTAGGCATGCTAATGAAAAGACCAAATAATCATAAGCTGCAGAACTTTTTCCTATCAGGATATAGTATCCTATCTTTTAGTTTTAAAGGCTTATTTAAATTTAGGATTACTAGGGCAAATGGCAGGAAATCTTTAAGCTTTGTTACTACCTAGAAAGTCAAGAACCTAAACCCTTTAGAACCCAGCCATTTACAAATCTAAGTTTGGAAATGACCTTAAACAAGCTTAGAATCTGGCAGGGTGCAGTCCATCTGCGTTGGGACTCCAAAGGAGTCCAGAGCATCCGGTGAATGCCCCAGCAGGAGGGTCCCATACCACCCATGTCATAAGTGGTGTTTGGTTCTGAAGCATCAGTTGGTGAGGCGTGGTATCAGAGGACAGAGGAAGATGGCTAAAATAAAGATTAGCAGAGATAGTATATTGGGATCTTACTGGTCAGTTTCTTCTGTCTAGAATCGCTACAAATGTTAATGGCAGGGGTGCAGTCTGTGATCAGAAGATCCTGGTTTTTGTGTTCCAGATGGAAGAATCCAAGTAGAGCATGTGGATGGGGTGAGGTAGAATAGCTTTATTGAGGAAAGGGGAGTCACCTGTTCTGCCAGGTGGGAAAAGGGAAGAAGAAGAAGGGGGAGACAGGTGGGCTCTCTTGGTCATTTTTATACCACCTTGAACTTGGAAGTGGGGACACATTAGATCATCACCTGGCTCCTCTCACCTGTGGGCTGGAGGAGGAGCCCTTGTGTGAAGAGGGGGAGCAGTCCCGGACTATCCCTAACCTAGCCAGCCTCAAACTCACTAGAACTAGAAAGGCAGTGTCTTCCTCCTAACCTCTTTTCTCCATTTCTCCTTCTCCTGGCTTCAAGCTTTTGTATCTACTTTGTCATTCCCTGCAGATTACTCCTCTGCTCTTTGGTTTACTTGTTTATTCACTTTGTCTGCCTCCAGATAGCGGAGTCCATCTGACTTCATACTCTCGTCAATTTAGCCCCTTATTCCCCAGCTCCAGACTCAGGAGAGAGCCTCCTGTTCCAACTTCAGTCAGGTGTCTATGCCTGGTCGCTTTAGCTTCTGTAGGTGTAGGCAATGCTGCTTTCTAAAATAAGAATGTGGATGGAAAGAAACGATGAGTGTCACTAGATCACAAAGGCACATGGCTAGTGGTAAAGCAGCATTCTACTGTGTTTCTAGTTTTATGTTCTAAAGAATATTTCTTTCTCTCTTTTTTTTTTTTAAAGGTTTGAATGTTTCAAGATGAAGAGTTCGGTAAACTACCATCTGCTTTTTGCCTTAGTTCTATTCAGTTTAATAGTAACCACAGTAAGTCATATTTTGTCTCTAACAGATTAAGCATGTGAATTTGCCATTTATGAAGTTTGGCAGGTTTTGCTTCCAGTGTTTGCTTCAAGTTGTTCAAACTGAGTATTTCTACACACAACTGGAATGTCTCATTTTCAGATACTGCTCTTTTGTTTCCTTTTCAAGCATTACTTTTCTCTGTAACTTAAGTAACTTTTTTTTCATTCATTCTTCCTTCTTTTTTACTTAAGTAACTTTTTAATGTTTTTTTTAAGGAAGAACTGTTGAAAAGCACATATTTAGTAGCAGTGGAAAAAAATTAACTCTTCTCATGGATATATTGTCTGCTTCCTATTTGTTAAAAACAAGAGAATGGCTCTGCTCTATTGGGTTTAGTGTGACTATTTTAATGATTAACCTTTTCCTAATAAGATGAGCTAACCAGTCCCTTCTGATTCTACCCTAGTGCTCTTTTTTCCTCAAGTGAGGAAAATGCAAATTTGGACAAGCACACACTCACAACCTACACACAGATACCAAAAATACAATGGTGAATAAGAACATGTAAAGTAATTATATGGTGGTGAGATAAAGAGGGTCAATTAAGAAGACCATGTATGTGAACAATGGCACCCCCATAGATATGTATAATTTTTATATCCTTATGTATCAGTTTAAAATTATTTTTTAAAAAATACTACTTAGTGGTGGCATATGCCTATGCTCGGCATTTGGGAGGTTAGACATGTGGAGTTCAAAGAGTCTGGGCTACATAGTAATGACCGGTCTCAAAAAAGAAAAGAATACCAGTTGAGTGGGACACGGAAAGCTTCTAGGAAGGCACTTGAGTTCGATTTATCTGATGATTAGAAGTTTGCCAGGTCCCTGGACAAGACTCTTTTTGTGTGTCCATGGGCATAAAACCTTAGAACATGTTAGTGAATCACTGTCTTTAGTTACTTACTGTGTGCCAGCAATTATACTGAGTACTTTGTCTTATTAAATCATCACCCCTAGTGGATTGGGGAAGATTTTATATGGGTGGAACATGTGATAAGTGGGGAGCAGTAAATCAACCTAGTGAATTGCACAAATGTCAGATTATTAAAAACCCTTGTGTGCTGTGCTTAAGAGTCTGAATTTTTATTCTCAAGGTAGAGTAGATCCACTAACTGGTTTAAAATCGAGGGAAAACATAATCAGATATGTTTTAGAAAGATTACTCTGGTCATGGAGGATGGACTAAAGGGACTTTGCATATTCTTTTGTAAGATAGGAGACTTAGACTAAAGTAAAAGCGCTGTGGGGGTGAAAGGATAACATAAGTAACAATCTGTGGGACTGTGGTCCACTGAGTAGAATGAAAAAGGAGTGGTCCTTAGTTTTCAGCTGTCAGCATACACAGGATGTCCTCAGCTATGATAGGAAACTTTGAGGATGAGCAGCTTTTGCAGGAAAGGTAATGAATAGGTTCACACTGTGATACAGGGCTAGATATATTCAACTTAGAATGTGTTGAGTTTGAAGCTCCCAACATTAATGACACTAGACAAGCTAGACTAAAGATGCAGATAAGGGATTTGACAGGGTATAGGTTGTACTAGAAATGGGGGCATAGATGAACTAGCACAGAAATAGCATAGACCATTAAGGTGACCAAAAGACACAATCTAGCTAGGTGCTTGTGGTTCATGCCTGTAATCCATTCAGGTGGCAGAAATCAGGAGGATCATGGTTCAAAGCCAGCCCAGGCAACCCTATCTGGAAAAAAAACCATCACAAAAAAGGGCTGGTGGAGTGGCTCAAGGTGTAGGCCCTGAGTTCAAGTCCCGGTACCACCAAAAAAAAGACACAACCCTATAGAATGTAGACATTGAGGACCAGATACAAGAAATGGAACAAGCAAAGATGATTAAGAATAAGTAATCAGAGATATAGGAATGCAAAGAGAACCTGATATATCAGAGTACAAAAATACCTGAAGCAAAAAGTAAGTAACAGTGTTAGTTGCCTCTGAGTAGATGAGAAAAATGAAGATTGAGAGCTGGTTAACACAAAATTGCAATTAGACAGCTAGGTAATAGTAATGAACAGTAAGTTAGTGAGGGCAGAAAATAGATTCCAACTAGTTGAGATGTTAAATAGTAGGCCAAAAGAACATAGATACACTATTTTCTTGAGTTTTTATATTCCTTTGTCTCAACTACATACTGGTCAATAAAGAAAGAATCCTAAAACTTCAGAAATGAAAAGATGTCTTGTTACTAAAGAAGAGAATAAATCTAGAGAGTATCAGTGACTTGCCTGGCCAATCAAGCTTATATAGAAAATTGGTGGCAGAGTCAAGACTGGGCTCTTTGGTAAGTTAAGAGATGATGTAGTTAGAAATAAGCCTCAGAATCAGTCATGTCTGAGTTTTGATTCTAACACTGTTACTTAGTAACTGTGGGACCTTGGGCAAATTATGTAGTCTCTCTCAGCTTTAGCTTTCCTTTCTGTAAGTATGTTTAATAGTAGTCATAAAGACCCATAATTCTTTGCCTTAAAAGTATCTTTAAGAGAAATGCCCTTGGACTGGAGGTATGGCTTATGCAATCACAAAACACTTAGTTCAAACCTCAGTTGCCTCCTGCCCCCCAAAAAAAAGGAAAAAAAGAGAGAGAGAGAATGCCCTTAAGCAGACAGGGTTTGTAGCACATGTCTCTAATTCCAGTACTCAAGAGGATTGGGAGTTTGAGGCCCAGCTGAGAGCCCATCTTAAAAAAAAAGCAAAAATACAGGAGACCCATCTCACCGACAGAAATAAGCATAGGCTTAAGATGAAAGGCTTGGAAGAAGATTTACCAAGCCATGGCCCCTGAAATAGGCAGGAGTAGCAATACTTATCTTGACAAAGTAAGACTTCAAACCTACATTGATCAAATAAGATAAAGAAGGACTTCCATACTAATAAAAGGG